TTGCAACTAGTTGCAGCTTATAAAATTTTGGAGTTGCAACGTGTTGCAACGGGTGACAAATAAGTGTCACATACTTGTTGTGTCATCTCTAGTCTAGTATTCAAAAAACTGATTCCATTGTGTCTCATCTTGAAGTCTTGCATTGAGTGCATCGATAAGATCACACAAACTGCTACTTGCTGTTAATAGATGTTTGACAATGCTGTTGAGGCCTTCGACACGAGAGGTAGTTTGAATTTCCGCTGTGAATATTTTTGATATAAATGCACGTGCCCATGCTTGTCAGCTGGGGTAAAGCGCTCTCATCAGGTAATCTTTAACGTTTGAGTACTTTTCAGTAAGTTGTGACCATTGTTTATAGAAACTTTCTTCACACAGGCTGTTGCAGCATAGGAAAAAGTCATGAACAAAGCTTTCATATTGGTTATGAAGCTTAAATTTGAGATTTTTTTGGTAGATTTTCGCTGATATGAAAAATGCAGTGAACTGAATAGGTGTTTTGATATGTTTGTTTGACAGCGGCATCTGCTGCAGGATCCGCATTCATAACGAATACTAATGACTCAATCATTGTTGCTTTTTTTGTGCATTCCAGGATCTATTTATAGGACTCTGTTATTTCATCTGACATGAAAGCTTGTGTGACAAGACGTGACCTAGTGTTGTTGTCCACAACGAGAAAAAGTGAAAGTGGCATTTGATAACGGTTGGTTTTGATGGTGTTGTCATTTAAAATAACATCTTAATACTCTAACCAAAGAACAATCTGCTCTGGGAACATCCAAAATAAGCGGGTAAGTCAGTTTTCATTATCCAGCTCGAACTCAACAGCCCATTAATGATCGTATGATTTGCGTTCAAAGAGTGTTGTTAGCAGGCGAGATACATCCAGCTTTTCATCAGTATGGATTTTGAATTTTTGTATGGCGTTTGAAAGATCACGGTCAAGCATAGATTCAGTTGGAAATTTTGCCTTCAATAACTTTTTTTGAGTGCCAATTGATAAATTTCCATTTTCAGTAAGAAA